GTGGCGGTTATTTTAGCGGTTAAAAACTGCCACAAATTACATGACCGGCGTCATTAATAACCACCGGATCTACGGTCGCCAAAAATCGTATGTGGCGATATTTTGTAAATGCTGGTATTGAGCGCAAGAAAATTTAATCTCTTTGTAGCCGTTCCAAACCACCACAAAATTCATCTAAATTTTGGTTTATTCATCATTTCTGGGGGTTTTAGACTGCTAGAAAATTACGTTTTTTTTCTTCTTATTTACACTTTCTGACAGTTTTAAATCGTCAAATCTCACATTTTCTGATAGTTTTGAACCATCAACTAATGCATTTCATTCTACATTATATCAATGCATTTTTATTATTTTAAAAAATAGATTTAAAATTATTTTAAAAGCACATTCATATTATAAATTAAGAAATAATAATCTATATATTTTATGTATTTATCAAATAATTGCTTAAAATTATCACTAATTATATTAATCATTTAAAATTAATAATGATTATATTATATTGTTATTTAATTCAAGTAACTCTTAAATAATAATTTTACTTATTGAATTCTAAGACCACTTATTTTAGTAAATTCTACCTATAATTATACTATCATATAATTCCTAATTCTTTGTGATTAGCAACAACCAGGGTGCTGAAGAACTAGGCTCTGAAAAATCAGCTAGTATACAAATGCATACAAGCATTAGCAGAATCAAGGTAATCTCTCCAATAATAAATGTATACTATCCAGCTGACAAATGACTTTTGTGTAGATAGCCTTGACATGTTAAAAAATGATTTAATTCTGTTGATGTTGAACTTCATGACATTTAATCTATAAATTGGTCTTTGCTTGATGACATCAACTGGAGCTCATTTATAAAGAAGCCTGTAAGTTGTTCAAAAATCAAAACGAAAGCAAGTTCTGAAACTATCAAGCCTCACCTTCCATGCATTTTCAAGACTTTGGTCCACGTTCTCTGCATCAACTTTTAGAGCTAGTGAACTTAGTAACTCTGCTTGTTGCATCAATGCATTTATCTTTGGGTCATCCTTTTTAAGGAATGTTCCTTGAATCTTGTTGTTTTGGACTGCAAAACCATGATAAACCAAGAGTTGCATTAGAATGATAGGTGACCAATGTCAGTAATTTAAGCAGAACGGGCCGTTCTCCTTGGAGAACGGCCCGTTCTGCATGCAGAACGGGCCGTTCCAGAGGAACAAATAGCAAAAACAAAAAACAAAAAAATTACGTGGACAACAAACTAACCTCAAACGACCAACGTGCAGACACTTAGAGGATTTCGTATAAACGATGAGCGCAGGAATGGAAAATGGTGAGTTGGGTGAATATAGTGGAACTATTACGTCGGATTATGCTGCTCCGACGTAAATTTACGTCGGCCTTGGGGGGTCCGGTCCGACGTAAATTTACGTCGGGCCCACTAGTCCGACGTAAATTTACGTCGGAATATAGGGGCCCGACGTAAATTACCTAATTTACGTCGGTCCACGAGGGGTCCGACGTAAATTAGTCTCCACTTATTTACGAAACTGCCACCGCGTTTTTACAACGTCGGTGTTTGTGGTTTACGACGTAAATTGGGTGACGTAAATACCCTTTTTTGCACTAGTGAGTGAAAATGCATGATTTGATTGAGAATATGAGTAGAGAAATTATGAGACAGGAATCACCCTTAAAGCCTGGTAAACGTAGTAGATTATGATTTTTTAAAGATATCCTTCGTGTATTCAAAGAGAACAAGGTATGTGCTTATTTTTTTTATTTTTTGTTTTGAAAAAAATTGTTAGTAATAGGATAATATGTTTTATAATTTACATACTTTATCTAAGCTTTATTTATTTTGTTTTTTATGTTGGAAGGGATCTAATAAAACTGATATCACATTACATTTTCCCAAAGATATAGAAAGTGCAATGGGATGGAAACACATTAAGAAAGATGGAAAATCTTAAAATATTAATAATAAATAATGCCGCTATCCTAAAGGACCTGATGCTCTCCCAAAAAGTTTAAGAGTGCTAAAATGGCAGAGATATCCGGAATTATTGTTGCTAGCTAACTTTGATCCAAAGAAACTTGCTATTAATGGACTTGTCTACGAGTTTCTTTACTTTCAAGAATCAACTGGTATTATAGTAGCCATCTCTCTTGATGTTTATTTGGTCTTGAACATTAATACATTCATTTGAAAACTCATAAATTAGTCACTCAGTTATTTTTCATTTTGCAGAAATTTAAGTCTTTGATGGAAATGAAGTTAAGTGGTTGCGAAATACTAAAAGAAGTACCTGACATGTCTGGAGCACTAAATTTGAAGATATTAAGCCTTGCAAAAATTTAGTTGAAATTCATGATTCCATTGGATTCCTTGATAAACTTGAATATTTGAACCTTAATTATTGCACCAGTCTTAAGGTTCTTCACCATGACATGAACTTAGCTTCTCTTAAAACCATGTCCCTTAGGAAATGCACAAGTCTCGTGAAATTTCCAGAAATTTTAGGAAAGATGGAAAAAATACACTACTAGAAAAATATTATTTTTTTATGAATTTTCTCACAAAAATTATTCACAAATTTTTTTTGTAAATTTTCTTACAATAATAATTTCACAGAATTTATTTACGAAAAATAATTTTCAAAAATTTCTTATAAATTTTTTTATAAAAAATAATCTACAAGAAATTTTTACAAATTTTGTTATGATTTTAATGATCATAAAAAAAAATTCATGATAAAAATTCGCAAAAAATGTTGTAAGAATTTTACTTTGTTTCTTATAGATTTTCTTATGAAAATAAATTTGCAAGTAATGTTTATTAATATTATACTAAATGGTAGAAAAATTTTACAAGTAACTTTTTCTACGGGTTTTCCTACCAATTTTAATCCGTAAGAAAAATAAAAAATGTTTAAATTTTTAAATTTAATGATTAAAATATTTTTCATTAAAAAATGATATTATACTAAATCATCTATAAATATATCATTATAATTAATTTTAATTTTACAGTTAATTAAATTAAATGTATAAAATTTTATAAATATGATAAATTAATGATAATGAGTTTTAATTTAATGATAATTTATAAAATTTTAAAATTAAAATTATTGACTTAAAAAATATTATTTTACTAAGTTATTTATAAATATTTCATAAAAATTAAATTTTATTTAAAATATTAATAAATTGAATATTTTTTTTAATTAAATGTATAAATTAATGATAATGAATTTTAATTTAATGGTAGTTTTTAAAATAATATTATTTAATAAAAAAAATTTAGAATATTAAATATTTTAAGAGTTAAAATAATTTATAATAATATAATTTTGTAGTTCAACATAATGAATTAATTCTCTTTCTAAAGACATGATCTAATTAACATTTAAGAAAAACCCCGAGTCTCGCATCGATTAGAAATAAAATAATTAAAGAGTATATAACTTGGAGCAACACTTACCTTACAAGTTGATTTTGTAAGATTAAGTGTTATATCTATAATTTACAATTTAAGAATTTAAAAGGTTATGAATCACATGTTGGAGGCGTGGAAACAAATTTCTGAATGCTTTGAATGAATTTATTGTGAGTATTTAAAAGTTAAAGAATTATTAATGGAATTTGTACAAAAATTACCCCGATTATTAAATTCCCAAGAAACATTTTGTAGTAATTTCTTTAATTTTTTCGTAAAAAATTTATTTGTAGAATTTCTTGCAAAACAAATTGTAAGAAAGAGAATTTCTTGTGAGAAAATTCGCAGGAAACTTTCCTATAAATTTTTTTTTTGCAAGAAATTCTATAAGAAAATTTCTTGAGAATTTTAAAATTTACAAAAATATATTATCCAGGAAGATATTACCTTGAGATAAAATTTCGTAGAAAAATTTATAAGAATAACATTTTTTATGAATTTTTATACAAAATTTATATAAAAAAATCACATGTAATAAAAAAAAATTTAATAGTAATAAGGTACCTTGATCTAAGTGACAGTGCCATAAGTGACCTGCCTCTTTCAATTGGAAATCTTATTGTGCTCACAATCCTGACTCTAGATAGATGCAATAGGCTACTTGAACTGCCTAGTACTATTTTTATGTTGCCAAACCTTGAGAGCTTCGAATCAAAATATTGTGAGGGCCTTACACAAATTCAGAAAGGAAAATGTCAAGATCAAGAAACAGAGTCTTCAAGTGTTAGGGATGCTAGTTTTAACTATTGCTATCTAACAGACAAATCTCGTGCAACACTTCTTCCATGCTTGTGCAACGTGACAAGTTTATCCCTTAAATACAGCAATATCCCAATCCTTCCATCATGTTTTTCGGTTAAGGTACACAGGAGACTACTACAGTTGACCAGTACTAGTCTAAAAGTTATTCATCAGTGAACCATTGTAAAATTGTCATTGATTTATTTACAATAAAGAAAAATAGGCAATGATCATCAATAGAATTCCTTGTGAAGAGGTAATTAAATTTTGTTAATTATGTGTCAGACCACAACTTCAACCTCATATTGTTATGAGGCCTGGTGATGTGTTTGCTCAATCAGACAAAAGAAGAGGACTGCTTCTTATTAGTTACGCCAAGCCAAGTTTCACCTTGAGAATTCTGTCAGATCCGTCTCTGTTTAATTTTTTCCATTGTTGTTAGTTAAATGCATTTGGATGTTTCAACGGGTATGAATCCATTTAGCTGAAAATCATGCAATAACAAATTTATCAACATTTGAAAGTGTTGAAATTGGAATCCAGTAAGAAACAAATTAAATGACCAGTGATGTAGAATGTTGTTTAGAAATTACGAAAATGCCATTGGGACTTTCCTATAAATA